ATACATGCTAAGAAGCGCTCCTAGGTCTGAGATAAATTTCTTCATCTAAACAGCTTCTTTTGTGGCGTCTGATGCTGCAATGTACTCTGATTTTATAGTTGAATCTACTAACGTACTTTACTTGCAGCTTTCCCAGCTCACAACACCACCGTTTAACACAAATACATATCCCTACTACGATTTAAACTCATCACAGTCAGTCTAGACTCTAGCATGTTGTATATATATGTATATGTGTGTGTGTGTGTATATATATATATAGAGAGAGAGAGAGAGAGATGAGTGATCAAATTCAAACCACCCAATTTGTACAATCCGTACAAATCACCTTCATCCGTCGATTTCATTGTTTAATCTTATGACATTTTTTCGTGAAATTGTTTAATCTTGTGAAATTGTTTCATAAAATATTTTTTTTTTATGAAGTTGTTTCATGTATGGTTATGAAATTGTTTCATATAATACTTAATGAAATTTTAATAAAACTGTTTTATGTATTTCCCTAAAATTAAAATAATGAAGATGATAATATCCATGATTAACACCCTCCACAATAAAAATGATTAATCAACCCCTCATAATTACAAAAAAATAAACAAAATGAAAAATTATGATTGGTTGTATGAGGTTTGTACGGTTTGTACAACAAACGTAGTTTGCAAAGTAAACCTCCTCTCTCTCTCTCTCTCTCTCTATATATATATATATATATACACACACACACACACAAAAAATATGTTATCATCTAAGATTAACATACAAGAACAAGGGTATTATTGAAGAAAATTCATAAATATGTGGATGTTTTTTAACTGCCAATGTGTATATTAATGTTTATATGAACATTAAACCATTGCCATTAATAAAAAAATCTACATCATTATGAACAATAATTTACGCATGGGCTATGCCCTCTTCTATATGAGCATGAGCTCACTTATGAACAATGTGATTGTATTCAAATATTCCTAGTGTGTTTGGATGTTCATGTATGTTGAAGTGTGTTATGTGCATTGCTTGAATATTCACATATGTTCACAAAAGTTCACTTGGTTGTTCTATCTTTTCATATTTTAAAAGACAATGAAGATTGTACACTTATGGAAATACGTTCACTTATGAACAATGAAATTTTGTTCAACTCATTAATATATTGGAACCTGAATGGGAATGAGGGAAGTTGAACATGTGAACATTCTTTTTATGAACAAGAACAATCAATATAAATTAGAACACATTGATAATACAAAACATAACCTTACTATTTTGCCCTCACTCATTAATTATACAAGAAGCTATGAACCATGGTACTAGATGGATTCCTATTGGTCCAAAGAGTTTGTATAGTTAACACAAATGAATTGGTTAACAAAAGGTAACACCTCCCCCCCCCCTCTCTATATATATTTATATATCCTGGGATACATAGATCTTTTTTTCTAACCTCCGTATAATAAGAAAATATCATTAGTTCTTCTCGTATACTTCAGGATGTTATTCACTGTTACCCAGTGAGTATCACCTAGATTTGACTGATATTTGATCATCATGCTTAGGGCATACGAGACCTCCTGTCTAGTACATTACATGACATATGACTGAAGCGTAGGGAACACTCTTCACAGGATGTGTTTGTAGAAGTGAATATAAGTACAAACACAATATATTTCACTTTTTAATTTTATCTTTTATAACTTGTGTATAAAAATCCGATTAATATAGAATTTGTACTTAGTTTTAAACGACTATTAGTTAAATATTATCTTAGTGTATTAAACAGTCTAGCCGCCTAACTTACATCCTGCTCAAGCTAACTTGTCTAATATTCTATTCAACTTCAAGAAATTAGAAAGTCTCTTTATCACCCGTGTCTGCTTGTGTTTGTGTGTGTGTGTATATATATATATATATACCTATTTTGAGCATAAGTTCTCCTTCACTTTCGTATTTGTACATATTAATTGACTGTCATTGTTGGGCAGATGTTAGGTTTATACACACATATACATATATATATATATATATATATATATATGATAAAAACAAGTTATGAACAATTTGGAAATGTTCAGCTAACAGTCGTTATACTGCCGAAATTTTAAAAAAATTCTAATTTTTTCACTTTATTTTGTAAATTGTAGGAAAGTACGAGCATAAAATATTGGAGAAGTATCCAAACCCGGATACCTGATCTATCGGAGATAAAGATGCATGGGAGCAACTTCAACCTTAGAAGAACAATCGCCTATATTACTTCAGCATATCGTTTGATCAGTCTTTTACGATGATGAGTACTTCATCCATTTCTAGCATTGATATCAGCACGTTGTTTAATCAATCATTGTCGGAGGATTTTTTTTGTGGAGAAGGGTTATTGCTGGAAGTATGTTTGTGGTTTAGTTGAAGATTGTCTTGCTATACATATTTCACTGACAACTTACTCATTATGTCCATGTTTAATAATTGTAGGTAATCGAATTACAAGAAGCCCTCAAGTCTGAGAGACAGGCAAGGGAAGAGCTAGAGCGAACCACAAAATAATTTGTGGCCAAGGATGTCGAGCACGAGGAAAGGGCCGCAAATTTAGATAAGATCACACAATCGATGCAGGCAACATTGGGCGCTCTTGTCCGTAAATTTGGTCCAAATGCCCTCTACCTAACCTCTTAGGTCCTCTATATGTCGAGCACAAACTATTTTTGGATAGATACAATACTGAAGTGTAATGAATTTAGATTTCTGTTTCTTAAATATTTTGTAATGCATATGCACGATACTACATTTTATACATGAAAATAGAAACTTCTTAACTCATTTTTTTTAAATACAGATTCAGTGACGAATTAGTTACGGCTTGGAAAATCGAATCCCTCAATAATCCATAGTTTATCGTTACCTAATTTTTCACTAGCTAATTCGTAAGGGATACGTTCCCTAATTAATACGTAGCAAATACGTTAAACAACAAATCCGTAGCGAAGACGTTCCCTAGCTAATTCGTAGGTAATACTTTCCCTAGCCAATCTGTAGAAAATATGTTCCGTAGATAATCCTTAGCTAATATGTTCTCTAGCTAATCTGTAGCAAATACATTCCCTATCTAGTAAATACGTTCCCTAGCTAATCCGTAGCAAATGCATCCTTTTTAGTGGACTTTTACTTGAAAAGAGGAAAATAATAAAGCTTATAAACCACCATTTTGCTACAGATGTGCGACGGGATTTTCTATTGCTAATATTAAAGTTCCATCGTTAAATTCAAGCAAATTTTTTGCAACCAACTGATTAACTACGAGTTTGTCAAGGATTTGACTTTCAGCTACGGATTTGCTACGAATTTGGTCGTGATTGTCGCCTCTGTTTCTTGTAGTGAAACCGAGGCACATATGACACCTCTTCTTGAGGTAGAAATTGTTGTTGTTCAAAAAATAGAGGTTGATTCTAAGGGACAAATTGATGTTGGCTTTGATAAATAGGCAGACATTGTCGTTGATCAAAAAATAGAGGTTGATTATGAAGGACAAATTGTTGTTAACTATGATAAATTGGTTGAGCCTCAATGATTGGGGCTGGGTCGGAACTTCGTCCGACATGGCTTCCTCTTCCCGATCGAATACCACCACTAACATAAACTTCGACCCACAAATAAAGTGTAGCAGGACTCGACAGTAAAGTCCATAGGTACGACTATAGGTACGACTCTCAGTTTGTTGGTGTAGACATTTATGGCGACGACATCTTATCACTATCAAAAATTTTAATTTTCAAGAGAATGAAAACTCTACTGTGAGTCTGTGACGACGTTTTGTTGCAATAGACTTGAAATGTTTTTCGTAAAATTAAAAAATCTTTTCTTTGTTTAAAGGAAAATACGAAAAACCTGTTTTATCATAGAAATACGACATGTCGTTGTCATGGGATCTAATTACTTTTTTAGAAGTTAAAAATGTTTTTCCTCCTTTTTAAACGAATTGTTGAAAAAAAAAACGTTTTCTTATATTTTAGTTATTAAAACGTTTTTTTCTATTTTTAAAGTTGTAGGTTGGAAAAAAAATATTTATTCTAGAATGATGATGCATTGTTGAAATAGAGTTTAATTAATTATTTGGAAATTGAAAAACAGTGAATTAAAAAAAGAATTAAAATGTCGTTGCAATTGCTACTTTCGACAACAAGACAACAACGACGGAACCAATAGAAATGACCGTTGTAGCAGCTGGTCTTTAGTGACGACATTTGAACCTACAGCAACGACTTTTGTCTTTGCTGTAGATCTATTTTGTTGTAGTGGCCTCAGTTTTTTTTATTGTAGATGTTATTTGAAGTTTAAATTAACAAAAGAACACTAATAAAAGAGAAAAAAGAAGTGATGCAAAAAACCTACACTTTCAAGAAATGAATGTAGATATCACGTATTTCACAAGGATTATATTTTATCGAAAATCAATAGTTATGCATATGTATATATAAGTTTTTTTGCATAAAAAAATTATAAATTTAAAAAGTCAAGAAATGGTTGAAAAATAAGAAAGGCCAAGTTGATTGGCTATTTTTGTTGAAAACCCTTTAAAAAAGAAAATTGATTAAAATAGTTATTCCATTCATTTAAATTGGTTTTCTAGCTATACTTCTCCGGGTTTATCCAATGTCAGTATGTCTGCAAAATTCACATCCGCAATATTGCAGACTTGGTTAAAAGACAAAAAAAACATTCAAATACCACCAGGTTAGCAAGTGGCACCGTTGTAATTGCGTACTTGGTCGTAATTGCGGACCTAATCGTCGCAGTTACGTACTCGGGTTGAATCTGGTTTTTTTTTTTCTGTCTTTTAACCAGGTTCGTAGTATTGTAGATGTAGATACTATGGAGATAGCGATATTTTGATAAACCGAGAAAAGGAGGAAATTGTTATTTAAGTAATTTCCCCTTAAAAAAACCATCTAATAATTATCCTCGATGTTGCAGACAATGGAATTTTGATTCCATCTTGATGTTTTCAATGATGTCGCATGAGATGACTAATTCCCTTCCCATCTTGTCTGTTCTTGAACATTCCCAAGTATCGCCACCGCCTGCCACCGTCGGCGACAACTCTTTACCACTCACTTTCTTTGACATATATTGGCTAAACTCTCCTCCGGTTCACCATCTTTTCTTCTATGACCTTCCACTCACTAAGGCTCGGTTCACTGAAATCATTGTTCCCAATCTTAAACGCTCGTTATCAATCACCCTTCAACATTTCTTCCCTTTCGCCGGCAACTTGATCATATTTCCCACTCCAACTCGAAAACCCGAAATACGTTATGGAGAAGGCGATTCGATCGCCGTTACCGTTGCAGAATGTAATCTTGATTTCGACGATCTAACAGGAAACCATCCTCGAGATTGCGATAAGTTTTATCATCTTATACCGTCTCTTGGACCGGCTGTTAAGGTATCAGATTATGTATCGATCCCAGTTTTTTCAATTCAAGTGACGCTTTTTCCAAACCATGGAATCTCTATAGGAATGACAAATCTCCATGCCCTCGGTGATGCTACCACTCGGTTCGGTTTCTTGAAGGCGTGGACAAAGATTGCGAGATCTGGTACAGATGAATCATTTCTAGCTAATGGAACTTTACCCTTATATGATAGAGTGGTTCAAAACCAGAAACTAGACGAAAGTTATCTAAAGCGGGTCAACGTTGAAGCTTTTAACGAAGAGTATCGACCTCAAAACCTTTCTGGACCGACTGATAAAGTTCGAGCCACGCTTGTCTTGACACGAACTACAATCAATCGGATGAAGAAACGGGTTTCTACTAATTTGCCAACATTAGAATATGTATCATCTTTTACTGTAGCATGTGGGTATATCTGGAGTTGCATCGCAAAATCACGCAACGACGAACTGGAGCTATTTGGTTTCGCTGTGGATTGTAGGGCACGTATGGATCCGCCGATCCCGGCAGCCTACTTCGGCAACTGTGTTGGGGGGTGTGCGGTGATGGCAAAAAGGACTCTTTTAACCGGAAAGGATGGATTCGTGACTGCTGCAAAATTGCTTGGAGAGAATCTACATGAGTTGTTGACCCATAAGGATGGAATCGTGAAAGATATTTTTGCGATGATTGACGATTTGTTATCTAACGGGATGCCAACGACAACGATGGGAGTTGCCGGAACACCCAAACTCAAATTCTATGACATCGATTTCGGATGGGGTAAGCCTAAGAAACACGAAACAATTTCAATCGATTATAACAATTCCATATCTCTAAGCACATGTAAAGAATCAAAGGAAGATCTGGAGATCGGCGTGTGTCTTTCGGCTATGGAGATGGAAGCTTTCGTTCATATCTTCCACGAAGGATTAGAAGCATATCTTTAATTAGATTCTTCTGTTTTGATTATTATGTTAATCGGAAATCTCTCCTTTACCTCTCTTTTGTGTCATCGTTCTCATTGATTCGCTTTTCTTTTTGTTGCAAACCTTTGGTTCGATCTTTGTTGTGTGGCATTTAATTTTCTGCTCCTCCACTATGAGGGTCCACGTTGATTTTCGGTTTCAATGTCAGTTCCAAGTTCTTAGTTTGAATTATGATAAGTTAATCATACAAGATGTATAATCGAAGAGTAATGTATCAACTTAAAGACCACTACGTAGAATCAAACCCATTTGAATGTGTAGATCAAACAACGCAAACTACTTATTTCTTCTTGCCTTTACCSGYGCCGCCCTTYCGTTTAGGTGGAATKATAATCTCAYYYTTCAGCGTCGGAATCTCCAYYAACYGYGACAAWCCRCCGACTCCACCGAACTTCTTACKGAACYTCTCMACCTGATCGGCATCGATGMGGTTGGCRGAMCGACTACCTAGATAGAAYGGGWGGTTGCCRGACCAAACATCGACKRMGWACTCTTTCTTAGTACCGCTGGTGGTAAGAATGTGCTCTCCGGTGCAGTAAACCTTAAAGTCATTGTAGAATTTGGGATGAATTAATTTCCTTCTACCGCCAAGTCCATCGCGGTTGATCTGTGGAAATGGTTGTAGCCACCTCATAAGAGAAAAGTGAAAGGGGGTTGGTTTGAAAAATGGAGAAAAAACTGTGAATTGGGGAATGTGTTGTGATTTATAAAACCCAAAGAAGGGATCCACTAAGGATACACACAAGACTGAGAGAATTGAATTCGTTAAGGAACTTCAATTCAAAATACTAACCACACTCTCTTTACATAACACGTTTACACACATATATATACAACATGAACCTCATAACCCTTCAAGGATGACGCTTAATATAAATAGTAACTGTCATAAGTGTTTGACTTTAAACACCACTAAATCCAAATCTAGATTACTTAATTTAGCACACCCCATAAACTAGACTTGCCTAATCCCCAAACCATCCTTCAACCTTGCGAAATCACCAACCTTTAATGCCCTGGTGAAAATATCTGCCATTTGATCAATGGATCTGCAGAAAGTAATGTCAACAACTCCATGACTTACTAATTAACGAATGAAATGGTACTTGATCTTTATGTGCTTGCTCCTTCCATGATACACCGGATTCTTGGTTAGAGCTATCGCCGACTTGTTATCACAGTGTATGATAGTAGGTCCAATTTGAGGATCACTACAACAAAAACAGGTTTATAGGACACTTTTTTGAGACACTTTTCAAGACCCGTCCTTTAAAAAAGGTTAATACAACACATTATTTTATGAGTCCTATTTGATTTAATTTAATAGGACTCTTATTTTTTAGTCTTATTAAGCTCTCTTAGGGGCTGTTTGTTTGGCTCTTAATGGTGACATTAAGAGCCAACCTCTTAATCGGTAAGAGGTAAGGAGTGTTTGGAAAAAAAAATCAAGCCTCTTAATGGTTTCATAACCCTCTTAACCATTTTGTGTCCAAGCCTTCACTAAACCATTCAGATCTATTCTTTTTCCAAATTTGCCCTCTCTACACAGCGCTTCCTTCACATCACCTCCCACCCCCCACGATCGTTGGTCTCCGTCTTCCCCCCTCCCCGATCATCGCTCTTCCGGTCGCCATCTCCGGTCGCTCTTCCGGTCGCCGTCTCCTTCTGCGATAATCCCACTGCTTCCACGGTCGTCGTTCCCTCCATCTGCTTCCACAGTCGCCGTTCGCTTCAGGTATTCCCCCAAAATCGATATCCTCGCTTCCCTACATTTGTTCGGTTCAAATGATTTGTTTCTGTTTGATTCATTACCATCGATTGAAACCACATATTGAAACCATAAGTTTGCATCGATTGAACCCTATCACATTTTCTCGTTGAAACCACCGATTGAGACCATCAATTGAAACTGACTGCTCATCTCATTTTCCATTTGTTTGTATTCAAACGATTTGTTTCAGTTCGATTCATAACCATCGACTGAAACCATCGACTGAAACCATCTCATTTTCTGGTCGAAACCACCGATTGAAACCATCTCATTTTCTGGTCGAAACCACCAACTGAAACCATCTACTGGTCGCATTTTCTGCTTGAAACCATCTGTTTGCATCGATTTAAACCATCGCTTGCATCTGTTTGACCGATTGAAACCACCGATTGTGTTTGCCATCTGTTGAAACCATCTGTTTAAAAGAATAGTTTTTAGAAGAATCATTTATAGATGATAAACAATAGTTATCAAAGACTGAATCCAAGACCAGCCTCATGATCGATATCTTAAAAACAATTGGGGAATTTTGCCTATATGTTAACATTATGTTCATCCACCTTCAACTTTGATTTATGTCATGTTGGCTAAAGATTATAATGGGCATCATCATCATGAGGGTTAAAATGGTAATTTGTTGTCATTCAGAAAACAGTTACCAAACATTCATATTTCATTCAGCACTTAACCATTCTGATCCTCTTAACCATTCTGACCACTTAACTATTCTGCACCAAACCATTCAGCAACTGCCAAACAGCCCCTTAGTGTCTTATCATGTAAATCTAATACGACACTTTTCAATGTCATTATTGTTTTAGAGTTTAATAGGACGCTTTTTAAGTGTTATATTATTTAAAAGAATAATTGGACATTCTAAAGTCTCATATTATTTTAGAAACTAATAGAACATTTTTAAGTGTCGTGTTAATTTTAAAAGCTAATAAGACATTTTTTATTGTTGTACTAGTGTTTAAAAGCTAATTAATAGAACACTTTTAAGTGTCCTATTAGAGTTTAAAATAATATGAATAGCATATTATATTTAGAACAATTTTTAACATCAAATCTAAGGCCAAATGTGAAAAGTCCTATTAATATATATATATATATATATATATATATATATATATATATATATATATATATATAATCCTAAGCCTTTATCAGCCCATTTATTTGAACCCAAAGCCCCTTTCTGATCGACTCCCCTTCACGGCTTCACTTGATCGACTCCCCTGGACTTGCTTAGGAAGCTACAATTGGTACTCCCCCGTACCTACTTACGAAGCTACAATTGGTACTCCTCTGTACCTACTTACGAAGCTACGATCGGTAATTTTGAAGGAACTCAGGAAGTCCTCACTGTTTACCTGATCGACTCCACCCTCTCCCTCACTGTTTGCGATCGACTCTACCCTGAGAATCTCAAAGCATCAGACGATGATCCTTCTGCTTATAGTAACATTTTCATTTTCATTTGACTACGACTGATTTAAGTTTAATCTCTTAGTCATAAGAACTTCGATACGAATTCTATGACAAATGATTACACTTTCAATGAACAATATTTTCCTGTTTTTGGTTTCCAGCGTATTATTGAACACATTTTGGATACCGATTGTATTTTTATATGAGAGTGTAAGTTCAGGCATTTCTCAAGCATGAACTGGTCGTCTCTTGCCTATTATACTTATGGTTGTGTCATAATGTAAGGCTTGTCGTAGGGTAATAGGATGTGAACATTTCAGGGTAGTAGCTTTTGTAAACGTGAACTTGAACATTATATTAAATTTGATGCTAAATGACTTGTTATAAACATAATAAATACAAACACATGTGCTATAGACATTGCAGTCAAAAGAACAACTCTATAATGAGTTGTAACAATCTTTATGTCTAGATTTTAGTCAAGAACTCAAGATAGAAACTCAAACCATTTGTGGTTAATGAGTATTATTCAAGCTAACAGGTAATTAAAGGAATTATGTACAAATTTCTAAATTGGAGCATGTTTGCTTTTAGTTAGCTGGGAGGTTAATGGACACATTTTATCGTTGATTTTTGTTTATGTTCCTTGGTTGTTGTCTTTCCAATTTACGGGTCCACCTTGGAAACTGATTTCAATTTAGCTGAGCCATATTTTGCCAAACACATTTGATTCAGTTGAAATGAGTTCATAAGGGTTACCATATAATGAAATTCACTTGTGAAAAATCAGGAGCCAACTGTTTTAACTCATCTATAGTGGATCAATTGATGAATTGAAGCATTGTGGCCACATTTTAAACACATTCCATGCAACTTTACTCATTGATAAGCTTATATTTAAACATGTTTTTATAATGAATCTAGTATATATTGTAATGTTTATATAGCTTATAGAACCATTTTAATTTAATTATTGATTGGTCTTTGATAGGTGCAAAAAAAGGATGGATTTTAATACAAACAGAGCATATATTTCAAAACTGTTACAAGGTCGGGCATGGTTTTCTGAAGGAATATGAGGCTGAGCATACTTATGAAATGGGTTCTGGACTGGGCATACGAATTTAAATGCCGTGAAAATGAGGCATATTTTTTCAAATGTTCTTAAAAAAAGAGAGATGTCACGGGTTTGAGGAAAAGGAGAGGCCCAGCAGTAACAAAACAAAACCAACAACAAAAACCCCAACAACAACAGCCCAGAGATGTGATCGATGGGGAAGACGTACGATCAATCGGAGAAGTGGAGAGGAGAAGTGGAAGAGAGGGGGATCGAGCGAGAGATCGGGATACGTGGGTTGATTTTCTGGTTCGTGGAGGAAGCCAACAGCATATATTTATTTTCGATTGGAGAGGTAACCGAGGGTTTTTGGACGGAGGAGATACGGGGAGCGATTGAAGACAGCGAGGATAGAGCGTGAGGAAGACAACAATGGTTCGTGGTTTTGGATTGGAGAAGCATTGAAGGAGATTCATCAATTTCAAAATTAAGTTAATATCTCTTCTAAATTTCTTAGTTTGTGTTTTTAATTAGCCATGTGTGGCTAATTTCTTTATAAATTCGACCTTGGATTGCTTAGTATTTGCAAGTTCTATTTTTACTAGTTGTTTGAGATGATGTACTACCATTTCACTTTGATTATTCACCCAATTTCTGAACTTAGTAGCTTATAAAATTGAATTTCATGCTTTCTGATCAATTGTGTGGAAATCGATTATGGTCATTTTGTTTCCTAAATCCGTAATTGTTTAGTAAACTAATATTGATGACAAATAACAAATAGGTTTTGTAGAAAATTCCTATCTTTTGTTATGAAA